GAGCTTTTCCAGCAATTTCTAATTTTGTCTGATTTACAGTATCTATAGTTCTTACGGTTTTCAACTTAAATGTTAAGCCTGTTTTTTTTTGCTTTCATAATAGCCCCTGTATGTGTGTTGGAATTTGAATTCAATATTAAATGTGGAATTAAAAGAAAGCATTCCATGAGATCAGTGACAAATCCAGGTTCCAAACATTCCCAATTTGAATGGTAAGTACCACTGTGTTCTGAGCTTAGTCAATTTTATGTGGACTAACCTCCTAATTTATTATTGTAACGTATGCAAAAATAACAAGATGATGGACTGCAGTTTTTCGAGAGATTAAACATTGTGATAATCTACTCAAGTACTTATTGGCTGAATGTTAGTTCTATGAAAGCCGATTAATGGAATTGACCAATATCCCAAAAGAAGGTTGAAAGAATCCTTTTAATTCAGTGACCATGGCGATCACAATTACCATAGCACATCAAATATAGCTGCTGAACATTTCCTTTCTAAAATGAGAAAGTCTCCAATTATCTGAGAGAATCCCAACCCTGAATGGAAAGGATAGTTATCATTTAAGCTGGTGTGTGTGGATTCGTTTGCAATCCACTGCTATAGACCCAACAAAAGGCTGACAATCCTTCTGCATTTGCCGAAAAGCTAACTCAAGGCTCAGCATTTGGTAAAATGAAACTGTTTCCTTTTTTAGATAACAAGGTGTAGAGCTGGATGAACACAGCAGGCCAAGCAGCATCATAGGAGCAGGAAGGCTGACGTTTCGAGCCTAGACCCTTCTTCAGAAATGGGGGAGGGGAAGGGGGTTCTGGAATAAATAGGGAGAGAGGGGGAGGCGGATAGAAGATGGATAGAGGAGAAGATAGGTGGAAAGGAGACAGACAGGTCAAAGAGGCGGGGATGGAGCCAGTAAAGTTAAGTGTAGTTGGGGAGTTAGGGAGGAGATAGGTCAGTCCAGGGAGGACGGACAGGTCAAGGAGGCGGGATGAGGCTAGTAGGTAGGAGATGGGGATGAGGATGAGGGTTGAGGGTTGAGGTGGGAGGACGGGAAAGGGGGGAGGAAGGACAGGTTAGGGAGGCGGAGACAAGCTGGGCTGGTGTTGCGTTATGGAAGGAGCAACATTTTACTGTGGCTTAAAATATTGATGAGCTACATACCTTGCCTCTGCGACATCTGCAACTGACCCTGTGCAAACATATGACTGGACGTACTGTGAGCAATTCACCAATGACATGTTAGGTTTACACAACGCCAAAAAGCTTGGCCGAAGACGTCCAACGGTGTATTTTGCAATGTCAGTCAATGATTGGCTCACTGAAGCCCCAAACACGAAGGTTCCTACCACCTTATACAAGGCAGCCAAATAGTTATTGAACTCAGATCTCGAGTACAATAGTTTTAGGTGAACCATAAATGCTTCTCCAACAGTAATCTAGATAAAGAAAAACAAACACGTGAGGTACACCTTGGAACAAGACTTTCAACAGCTTTGCAAGATGAGTGCTTTCTGGGTCAGAGAGTCCTAAAACAATACAACATTAATGGAACGTGCATGAAAATCTCTGATCAGAGCCTCCCCAAAATCTCACCATCTTGATCCATTCGATGGGAGGGCTCCCTGATTCAACCAATAGTTTGTGTGGAGCCAGCTGATCCAGTACAGTGACAAGACTGCATAAGGTGGCTCTGAGCTTGGGAGAAGTTACACCAGCCAGAGACAGCATTATTACTAATGACAGCAGTCCAGATGATGCTTTGTCCTTCTGCCTTTAAATGTTCACCCACCCATCCCTTTAACTCTAAACCCTAGTGAATAAATTGCTACCACTCATTAGAAGCATGCTACACGAATGATAGCCAATTGGGCCATGCATCAGAGGGCAGAAGGGGTTGTTTGAATTTTCCTAAAGCAAACTGTAAGTATCTTTTTAAAAAGGAGAGGAGAGAAGAAAGGGACCAAAACATATATTTTTTAATTCATTCACAGGATGAGGGCATTGCTGGCTAGGCCAGCATTTATTGCCCATCCCGAATTGCCCAGAGGGCAGTTCAGGGTCAACCACATTGCTGTGGGTCTAGAATCACACATAGGCCAGACCAGGTAAGGATGGCAGTTTCCTTCCTTAAAGGGCATTAGTGAACCAGACAGGATTTTCTGAAAATCAACACTGGATTCACGGTCATCATTAGACTCTTAATTCCAGATATTTATTGAATTCAAATTCCACCATGTGCTGTGGAGGGATTCAAACTCAGGTTCCCAGAACATTACATGGGTCTCTGTTAACAGTCCAGTGATAGTACCGTTAGGCCATTGCCTGCCCACAAGCCAACAGTCAACATTGATGGCCTTTCTTTTGTTGAACTGTGTTGATATCAACAATTAATTACAGCAGTTGGCTTGTGATTCTTTTTTATTGATTTGCAAAAGACTAGCCAAATTGTATACAATTAAAAAAAACACCATACTGTTCCCAAATTCAATGCATCACGTTCAATTAATGATGTCTTTTCTTCATATCCACTTATTGATCACTATTGTCCTTTAAGGATGTAAATCTGCCACCCTTACCTACTGTGATGAACAGCAATCTGATTGGCTTTTAAGTGCCCTCTGAAATGGCCTTGCAAGGCACTCTGTTCAAAAGCACTAAAAGCTGAGAAACACAGTTTGTCTCAAAGAGCCCACATCTCACGGAAACAAAATGAAACAATTCTTGAAGACGAAGCCTGGATCGAAAGAGTATCTTATATTTCCATTGTAGGGGTAATCAAAGCCATATCCACCTGGGGTCACCAGACAATGATCAGAAGCAAAACTGTTGTCTATTTATTTTCACTTCTTTAGCCCAGGTATGACAACAGCCAACTGCAATGCCACAGTGACCTGAGACCAAGGTTTAACTAACACAGCATTACTCTAGCCTGAGTTCAAGACCTTCTGGCCCACTTAAAGCTCCATACCAACTTTTTACTTTCTTTATTATTATGTATGACTTTTTTCATTGATATAGGCATTGTGGTGGGTGATTCATAAAACGTTTCATTGCATTTTTCATGTAAAAGTACATGTGACAATAAATTTCAATTCTATTCTACTCTAGCTGATGCTTATCACCTCTGTGCTAGAGGGAGTAGCTGCCAGATTTTCAAGTATTGTCCAGCGAGAATTTATAATTGATTTGTGTAAAAGAAGGCACTCCAGTGGAATTCATAACAAGTAGTAAATGCAGTGACTTACAATTATGATGCAGACTGGAATAATAACTGCAGCCATCAGCCAGTGTGAAATGGTATCCTTTTTATATGGATATTTTATGCTGTCATCATTGCAGTAAAATCCTCGCATATTTGGTTTACCCTTTAGCGTCAATATGACAAATGGTAATGATGCTGTGGACGTAACAATGAAAAAGAGTCAAAGGATTATTGGAGATGATTGTGTATTCTTGTCCATTACATAACTGCAGTACACAGGTAAACAGGTGAAGCCCTGTATCATCACCTCTTCAGAGATGTACTCAGACATGTTGTCAAACTCTTAAGTTTAGCATGTGCACACTTCAGCAAGATCAGATCGATACTTGGGCAAGAGAACATTAACAGGCTTTAATATACCAGAATTGTATACAGGAGGTGATGAGAGAGACCACCTCTGGGACCCATAGGCTCAGGCCTCAGCTCCACGAGACCTGGCATTGCAGTGTCAAAGCTCCTCCCATCTACGCTCAGTAGCTATTCTTAGGTCTAGTTAACCCTTTTCTCCATATGAAGTGGTTTTGCCACCATAGAGGCACTAAACACTGAAGTGGGTAAACAGTACAGTCATAAGTAACTACTGAGCAAAGTAAAACAAAGCAAAGCAAGATTCTTTCTCCAGGAGACACTTATTTTATTCAGTATGTGCATGTTAGGTGGAGCCCTGTGACAGTATTGTCCCTACACTTATATTATACTGTCATTGCAAG